TACCCATATTATTAAATCCTCAGCACACCCCTCTAGTGCAGTTACCATCTGTCAACTTAGAAAGATGTTACATAATCATTGCCTATATTCTTCATGCTGTACTACCGTCCCCATGACCAACTTGTATTGTGATTGCGAATTATTGGGCCCACTTGTCCCCTCTCCATCTACTGCAACCCCTCCCCTTGATAACCACTAGTCACTTCTCAGTGTCTATGAGTCTACTGCTGTTTTGTTTCTTCTGTTTTGCTTTGTTTTTATATTCCATAAATAAGTGAAATCATATGGTATTTGTCTTTCTCCATCTGGATTATATCACAGAGCATAATACCCTCTAGATCCATACATCTTGTTGCAAATGGCAGTATTTCTTTTCTTTATATAGCTGAATAATATTTCATTATGTATATGTACCACATCTTTATCCATTCATCTATTGACAGACACTTATGTTGCTTCCATATCTTGGCTATTGTAAATAGTGCAGCAATAAACAGAGGGGTGCATATGTCTTTTTGAATCAGGAATCTTGTTTTCTTTGGGTAAATTCCTAAAACTGGAAATACTGGATCAAATGGTATTTCTATTTTTAGTTTTTTGAGGAGCCTCCATACTGCTTTCCACAATGGTTGCACCCATTACATTCCCACCAACAGTGTAGGAGGGTTCCATTTCTCGGCATCCTTGCCAATATTTGTTATTTCTTATCTCTCAGATGTTGGCCATTCTCATTGGTGTGAGGTGATATCTCATTGTGGTTTTAATTTTCATTTTCCTGATAATCAGTGATGTGGAGCACCTTTTCATGTGCCTGTTGGCCATCCGTATTTCTTCTTTGGAGAAAATGTTCAAGTCTTCTGCCCATTTTTTAATCGGGTTATTTGTTTTTTGGGTGTTGAGGCATATGAGTTCTGTATATATTTTGGATGTTAACCCCTTATCAGGTGGGTCATTTAGGAATATATTCTCTCATACTGTATGGTACCTTTTTATTTGCTGACTATGTCTTTTGCTATACAGAAGCTTTTTAGTTTGATATAGTCCCAATTCTTCATTTTTTAATTTGTCTTGGTTGCATGAGGAGATGTATCCAGGAAAAAATTGCTCATACTTACATTCAAGAGATTTTTGCCTATGTTTTTTTCTAAGAGTTTTATGATTTCATGACTTACATTCAAGTCTTTGATTCATTTTGAGTTTACTTTTGTGCATGGAGTTAGACAATAATCCAGTTTCATTATCTTGTATTTAGCTGTCCAGTTTCCCCAACACCAGTTACTGAAGAGGCTTTCTTTTCCCCATTGTATATTCATGGCTCCTTTATAATATATTAATTGACCATATATTTATGGGCTTAAATTTGGGCTCTCTATTCTCTTCTATTGATCTATGGGGCTGTTCTTGTGCCAGGACCACATTGTTTTGATTACTATAGTTTGGTAATAGAGCTTAAAGTCAGGGAGTGTAACCCCCAGCTTTGTTGTTCTTTCTCAGGATTATTTTGTGATCTTTTGTGGGTCCATATGAATTTTAGAACCTTATTTGTTCCAGTTCATTGAAAAATGACATTGGTATTTTGATAGGGATTGCATTGAATCTGTAAATTACTTTGGGTAGTATGACCATTTTGACAATACTAATTCTTCCTGTCCATGAGCATGAAATAGATTTCTGTTTATTGGTGTCTTCTTTCATTTTTTTATGAGTGTCTTATAGTTTTCAGAGTACAAGTCTTTCACTTCCTTGGTTAGGTTTATTCCTAGGTATTTTATTCTTTATGATGTGATTGTAAATGGAGTTGTTTTCCTGATTTCTCTTTCTGCTGGTTCATAGCATATAGGAATGCAACAGATTTCTGTGTATTCATTTTGTGTCCTACAACTTTTCTGAATTCAGTTGTTAGTTCTAATAGTTTTTGGTGGAGTCTTTAGGGTTTTCTATATGTAATATGTCATCTGCAAATAGAGACAGTTTAACTTCTTCCTTACCAGTTTGGATGCCTTTTATCTCTTTGTGTTGACTGATTGCTGTGGCTAGGACCTCCAGTACTGTGTTGAATAAAAGTGGTGAGAGTGGACATCCTTGTCCTCTTCCTGATCTTAGAGGAAAATATTTCAGCTTTTGGCTATTAAGTATTATGTTGACTGTGGGTTTGTCATATATGGCCTTTATTATGTTGAGGTATGTACCCTCTATACCCATTTTGTTGAGAGTTTTTATCATGAATGGATGTTGAATGTTGTCAAATGCTTTTTTGGCATCTATGGAGATAATCATGTAATTTTTAATCCTTCTTTTTGTTAATGTGGTATATGATATTGATTAATTTACAAATAGTATACCATCTTTGCATCCCTGGAGTGTATCACACTTGGTCATGATGGATGATCTTTTCGATGTATTTTTGAATTCTGTTTGCTAATATTTTGTTGAGGATTTTTGCATCTGTTTTCATCAGAGGTATTGGTCTATACATTTTATTTTTTTGTGGTTTCTTTGTCTAGCTTGGGTATTAGAGTAATACTAGCCTCATGGAATGAGTTTGGAAGTATTCCCTCCTCTTCTACTTTTTTGTAATACTTTAAGAAGGATGGGTATAAGCTCTTCTTTAAATGTTTGGTAGAATTTAGCTGTGAAGCCATCTGAACATGAAATTTAGTTTTTGGGAGTTTTTTGATTACAAGTCAATGAAGGGAAAAATAAAAGGGGAGGGGACTATTATAGATTAAGAGAAATGTAAGAGTTAAAAGACTTATAAGCAAAAAGACATAACAACCCAAAAAATATGGGTCTTATTTTATCCTGGTTCCAAAGACATATTACAAAAAGAATTTTTGTAAATAATAGAGAAAATTTGAGTATGGCTTGGTAATTGAATGATACTAAGGATTTATTTTTGAATTTTGTTTGATGTAATAATGGCATTGCAGTTATGCAAGAAAGTATTTGGATATTTATTTTTGAGTTGCATACTGAAGTGTTTAGAGGTGAATTATATGATGTACTTTAAAATACTCCAGCACTAAAACATAACAAGGGGCATGGGATAGGTGAAACAAGTATGTGGTGAAATGAAGCAGGGGGTGGACACATCGGGTTTGTTATACTTTCTACTTTTAAGTATGTCTGGAAACTTTCACAACAAAAATCCAAAAAATGTGGTACACTGTTATTCAGCTAAATCCCACTTCATACTATGTATCCTGGAGAAACTCTGATAATTGTGAGCAGTTCTAGAGTCAGCTCTGCACCTATGTTTGTAAAATGAAAATTGCAAATAATTTCAATGTCTGTCAATAAAAGAAGAGATACATAGAGGTGAAGTGATAAGAGGTTATCCTGTCAGCAGTCATTCCCTGTTCCTCCTGGCTAATAAAATCCTGATTTTATTTATCCCTCAAAAAAAAAAAAATAATGGGAAAAACACAGAGTGAAGAATTAAGGCTCTGGTTTTTGTCATTTTAAACAAAATTTTTAGCTGTTCTAGCTTCAAACAAAGAATGGAAACTCATATTTTCTTATTTTTACTATTTTGGATTAGAAGAAATCATTCACCTCATTTTTGAGTAGTGGACACCTTCCCCTCAAAAGAATCTCTATATTTCTCCCTTCTTCTCTAGGAAAAAGAGATTTAGGCAATAGTATTTTGAAGGAGAATGTTTCAGAAGTGCTTTCTTGCTTTTGAGGAAAGTGTGGAAGGTGCTGTTATTGATTTCTTACCTTTCTTATCCTGCTTTGAGTTTTAATTGGCTGTAAAAGTTCTTTCTGATGATCTTGAGTCTAGTCATTAAGGACTTTAATGAGGGGGTAAAGAGGTAAGGTTTGAAAAGATGAAAAGCATGTGGTGAGAAAGTAAGAAAAGCCATTGACCCAGAGTCATAAAAGTGATGCAAGCGTGGGGCTACCTCCTGAAGAACCTGGACAGTGAGTTGAGAGCATTCCTAGGGCGAGCCTGTCTTTGTGCCCTGGGGTTACAGTGGATCAGAAGCCTTGCCAGATGACTTGCAGTTTTCACAGGATCGAAAACCTTATATGACCTATTACCAGGAGTTCTGAAGATTAAGGGTTCATTCTTCATGAAACCTTGATTATTTTATATCAGACATTCTCAAAAGCTTTCCTTCTAGCAGAAGCAATGCCCAGCTTATCAGCTTATTCTATAAGTCAATATCTGCCACAGCCCATTCACCCCTTTTAGTGTTCCTACTAAAATTATTAAACTAAAGGAGACCCCTAGAACCCCAAAGAAATGATGATGAGGAATTTCCATATCAGAGCCCCCAAGCTGGGATAACAGTAAATGGATCTTTTTCACAGTCTGTTAAAGTCAGGCAATCTGGGACTGAGTTTTTTCTTTCCTCCTCCTAATGATACTTGCTTAAGATTGTGTGGGGACTTAAGGTGAAAGTTGGACTAGCTGATTCTCCACTGCATATCGCAGACCTTTAGCTCCTCATCTAGGATGGAGAGTGTCATAGTTCTTCTACAATAATCATCCTTAATTCCATCTGAGTATTGTTTGCAACTCCGTTTCCTGGGGCCAAAATATTTTCAGTTAGGGGCTGTTTGGTTACAAGGAAGAGAAATACTCAAATTAGCTCAAGTAAAATGGTATGTTTATTATATGATTGCAAAAATTCATGTTCTGGACAGTGAAGCAGTGTAAAAATGTTTGTGGGGAAGAAATAAAGACCAACTAGGCTTTAGAAGAACTGCTAAGGGGAAATAAAAAGTAAGGAAAAAAAGGCTGTACCTTTTCTGAGACTCTTTGGTCTCTCTTCTCTGCTTCTGTCCACTCTGGTCTTCTCTACAAAGCATGCACTTCTCCTTATTCATGGTGCCTTTGATCCTATAGCTTCAGCTTTGTTCAGTGTCTCACAATGGGGAGGAGGTAGTTACCCAAAATAAATTGGAGTGCTACTCAAGGGGAGAATGAATTCTGGGCAGACGCAAAATGAAAATATTTCTGCATAATGGCCAATCTATTTAATCTAATTCAGGTTGGCTGGTTTGCCATGTCTGAAGTGAACGTCACCATGCCATCAAACCCTAGTGCCAAGCCCTATCTGGAACTGAAAGACACCCAGTAAAGTGTTTGCTGAGTGGCTGAATAAATGAATAAATGACTGGAGTTAAAGGTAGGACCCAGGTCTGATTTATTTTGATTCATCTTCATAACACTGATATAGCATCTGATCTTTGAGTTTATATGTATATATGGTAAGTAAATATTAACAAAATGACTCTTGTTCTGAGTATTGCACTTTCTAAAATGGCAGAATCGTGTAAAACAGTGGTTTCCAAAGTAGACTGCATAAGACAGTCTACTGGGATATGAAAAAATACTATGACCTCTGTATATTTTTATAAAAAAAAAAGAAAACTTAAGTGTTACTAATATTTAATGTGTAGATTGACATTGGTGCCTTCATGTAACTTAAATGTCAGGTGTAGTTCCTAAAGTGCTCTGAGGGAAGACTGAGGTTTCCACAAAATGGAAGGCTTGACCAAGTTGTTTTCTCATGGGTTGGCTTTTAGCATGCTGTGATTATACTGCAGAGCCTATGTAGCTTTTGAGAGTGGTATATTATCTAGTTTAACTAAAGTAAACCTCACAAAATGTATAAAAGGCTTTAAAAGATACCTCTAAAGAAATTCTGACTTGAAGGCAATCCCTGTAATAGAAGCCCAAGGAAACAATGAGAAAGTGGCCAGGCAAACACTTCTGCCTCTGTTACAAGTTCTTTGTCAGCCATGTTAAGAGAGAAAACAGTGATAATCTAGACAGATCTGACAGGAAGTAGTCCAAAAAATTAGAAACTTTGATGGAGCCTCTTTGAACTATGGATTTAAGTCTAATACTACTAACAGTGAACTTTGGCACAAAGTATATATTCTGCTTGGGTTTTATTCATCAAGCTGTCATGATTATCATGACATTTAGAAATGAAGCATTTATAGCATGAATGTCAGATCTTTACAACTTTTTTACCATGATGTTTTAGTTAAGCAATGCTCAAATTCACTTAACATGATTTCACTAACTTTACAGTTTTTGTTAACAGAAATTAAAAAGCTACATACTATTAGGGAACCACTTATTATTCTGCCACGGTAAAAATGGGCTGAAATAATTCTCAGCAATTATTGAAAGGCACATAGGAAACTGCTGAAAATCTAAAGAAACAAGCATTAGGATAGATTTGACAGTGTGGGAAGTTTCTGATGTGGTTGGATAAAAGTACAGATGTTTTTAAATTGTCTCAGTTTATGATATTTGCTAGCTTGTGTTTCAGTAGTGAAATACATGAAAATCTATTCTTTCTTTTTCCACTGAGGAAAAGATAGGAATACATTAATTATAAATAATTGATGACTTCATTAATAAAATAAGGGTTAAGACATGTGGAGCAGAGCCACAAGAGAAATTTAATCACTGCATCATTCATAGGCAGTTATTGCAATGTAGAATTCAAATTTAAAATTCCAGTAATATAAATGTGGTGAATCTTGTGAAACAGAACCTTTAATGGTAAAAATTTTATAATCGTCTCTAGCAGGGGTTGGCAAGTTTTTTCTGTAAAGAGGATGATAGTCAATGTTTTAGGCTTTGCACACCATATGGTATCTGTCACAACTCCTCAATTCTGCCATTGTAGAGTGAAAGGTATAGACAATGTATCTAAATGAATGAATATGACTGTATTCCAATAAAACTTTATTTGTAAAAACAGAGATGGGCTGGAGCTGATCTGAGGTCTGTAGTTTGCTGAGCTCTGCTTTATAATGAACAAGGAATAGCCAGGAATGTAGATATTCACTGTTTATCTTATGTCAAAGCATTTAAAAAGTTGTTGAAGTTAAAGACAAATCTCCAATTTGTTGACCTTTTATGTGATGACAAGTGGGTGTCAGTAGTGTGCAACTTAGCAGATAAAAGAAAAATAAGCAGAGATTAAATAGCTTGTCTCTTCAAGCTAAGAGACATTTAATAATAAGAAACAAAATGCTTTTTGAGGGAAACCCAGAGAGCAGTTTTCAAAATGGGTCTAAGGGAATGTTTCTGTTGTTTAGTTATAGAAAACTATATATGTTTGTCACCTGCATACTTAGTGAACTTGGAAATAGGATTTTCCACTGTTTAATCATTTCCAAAAGAGTTTTAGAGAGTATTGAGTCTATTTGTTAAAAAATACAAATATGCAATCCCTTTTAATTTGTTTGCAGGAATAATTTTTTTGACATCAAGAATGATGGAAATGTATTGCCAGCCTCAACAAAAGCCTTTGTATAAATAGTAATTAGGATTGAAAAATGAGTATTATGATTTAGTAAGTGTAGTCACAGAGAGACTTTTAGGGGACTCCATTTGGAACTCCCATGTGAAGTTTTTTTCTCACTTATGACAACCATTACAATTAAGTGTTGATATAAACTGACCTTAGATGCAGACCTTCAAAGTGCTATGACACAAAGCATTAAACCAAGATTCAAAAAATAATAATGAGTCATATTTAAACACATTGCTTATAGGCTTTTTTTGTTCTAGAAATTAATGAAATACATATTAAAGGTGTTTTTTTCTAATGAATTTTTTAATGTTTATCTTGTGTAGGTTTTAACATGTAAAGTAACACATGTATGTATATTATACATGTATGTATATATATATATTTTTGAAGTATTGTTGATATACAATCTTATATTGGTTTCAAATATACAACATGGTGGTTTCAACAGTTACCCATATTAAATCCTCACCCCCCACTAGTGTGGTTACTATCTGTCAACATAGGAAGATGTTACAGAATTATCGACTATATTCTCCATGCTGTACTACTATACTTGTGGCCAACTTATATTACGATTGAGAATTTTTGTGCCCCTTTATTTCTCTCACCCTCCCTATTCACCCACCCTAACCCCTCCCCCATGTAACCACTAGTTACTTTTCAGTGTTTGTGAATCTGCTGCTGTTTTGTTCATTCTGAGTAGCACATGTATATTATATAAATAAATAAATATGCATGTATTGGAATATGTATGCTAAACATTTTTTTAAAATATCATAGTCATATATGATCTAAAAAGCCCAGAGACCATTGTGTTGTTAGGGAGGCAGTGCAGCATAGCAAAACACTTGTAGACTTTGGTGCCACACAGAACAGTGGTGATTAATGACAGTAACTACCATTTAATAAGTAACTTCTAGGGCTAGGCATCATGTCAGATATGTTGCAGAAATTATCTCATTTTATCCTGTCTAAAAATGTGTGGGAAGGATGACATGGTTACATCTCTTTTTATCTCCTCCTAACACATTTCCTAAGGTGCTTTGGGGGCAGGCTGGTCTTCTGCTTACGTGAGTGCCTTGGCCTTCAGATTCTTTTCGACTCTAAAATTGCTGGTTGAGCACTAGTACCCCAAGCTCTAGAAATCATTAAAGGGGATTTCTGTGGCATCCATTGAAAAAAAGGAAAATAGTCCATACGATCACATTGTAACCTATTAATATACTCAACTCTCAACCCAGTGGGGGTATTGGCAGGTAGTGATGGAATGGCGGGTTCAGAAAAACCTACAACCATGGTTAAACCAAAATTATAGTCAACTTTGCATTATCTGGAAATGATTAACTGTAATTATAATGTTGGCTGAACCTGGGATGGTTCATTTTCCTAGGGAGCTGGGTTTTTGGAGGGGCCAAGGTAAGTCTATTCTTCTAGGGAAGCTCAGAAGGCAGTTAGTGCCCTCTCATCCTGCATCTTGGAGTAGAGCTTTTTAATCTAAACCTACTATTTGCTGCCTAAATACTACCTTTGCAGGCTGGGGAGGCCTACCACTCTCTGCTGCTCTTTTTGTTTGGTATCATTAATCTACAATTACATGAGAGAGCTCTGCTGCACTTTGACCACCATTGACCTATCCTGGATAATAGAGTATGATGAACATTACCATTTCACAGATGGGAAAACAGAGGCTCATAGAGATTAAATTAAGTTGTTCACTGAGAGAAAGCTTGTGTCAGAGTTTGGATTGGAGCCCAGGTCTGGCTGATTCCAGAGCATCTGTGTCTTCTGCTGCTTTCCTACCACTTAATTTGTAGGGTTTGGTTCTACTGGACAAAGATATTTTTGGATGGAGACTCTTGGTTTTTGGTTCTCAAAACATATCATGTTTGCAGATGCCAATTCTGTTTATTCCAAATGACACCCTGTGCTTCTTCTTTTCTGTGACTTTGCTGAGAGTCACAGGGACTTTGAAAATTATCCATTCCAATGCTCTCATTCTGCAATGAATGAAATAACCAAAAAGATAAAGTAACTTACCCAGGGTCCCCATGGTAATTATAATGATGGTTATAAACCTACTCTGTTTGAACTTTTGAACTCCTCACATTTTGGGAAAACAGATCCCAGAATATAAATGTGTATGATTCAGCTTAAGTTTTCAAACATCCATAATTGAGCAACATAGTTATAATTTTCTTTAAAAACAGATCAAAACATGGTTTTCCATCAAACTTATTTGAAACTTAAAGCCTGCTTGGAGTGGCACTTACAAATCTGCTGGCTCTGTGTTCTTATTTTTGTTTGCCTTTACTAGAAAAGATGAACCATGTGATTTCTAATAGTTTGGAGGGTTTTCTTTTCTTCAAATATTTTATTTTTTATTTTTTATTGAAGTATCATTGATATGGAAGCTTTTCTTGCTTTCAATAAAACAGCATGTAGAACTGAAACTCTTCTGTTTGGGGATTTTTTTTCCTAGTCATGAGGCAGTGAATAACAACCATAACTATACTCTTTCCTATTTCTAGCTGAGATTGAATTCCTGAAAAACTCTGATTAGTCTTTTTTAGTTTGCACATGAGCCTATAGATTTGCACGAGGCCTTTAACTTGCCTTTTTTTCTTGTTATAAATAATGATGAGTGAATTTACTAAATAACTGCTTAAAGCAGAATTTTTTTTGTCCATTTATTCAAATAATAACAAATATATTGAGCACCTACTATTGCCAGGCCCTGTGCTCATCCTTTCTAGTTTAAAAAAAATAATTTTTACCATAATGATACATGGTATTTAAAATGATGCATGGTTACTGTTGCCATAGAAGTGTATGGC